TAATTATTTCTGATTTCATTTTTCCCAGATCCTCTTTTGTTGCCAGTTCAGAGAGTCCAGGTGGTTGAGTATCAGACTGTTCCATCTCGTTTCCCTTTGGGGTAGCTGTAGGTGATCCAGAAGTCTGTTTTTGAGGCTTGTTTATATGTTTTCTCATTTCCATGGTGGGGGGGCAGTGCTTCTGGTGCCCACGCGGCTCACCTTGTCTGCCCTAGGAGCTTGGGATGGCAGCAGGGGAGCTTCCTTCCAGGTGCTGGGACCAGCTGAGCTTCTCTGCCCTAGGAGCCTGGGATGGAGGCGGGGAGCTTCCTTTCGGGTGCTGGGACTGGCTCACCTTCTCTGCCCTAGGAGCCTGGGATGGAGGCGGGGAGCTTCCTTCTGGGTGCTGGGACTGGCTGAGCTTCTCTGCCCTAGGAGCCTGGGATGGAGGCGGGGAGCTTCCTTCTGGGTGCTGGGACTGGCTGAGCTTCTCTGCCATAGGAGCCTTGGGGTTTGTTTATTCTTGACATTCCACTTTAGTGGCTCCTAAATGTCTCACTGTGGGACACTTTGGTAAATTAAGTTGCTGCCTGGCAAGGCAGTGTTTATTTCACAGTGTTTCCCTAAGGATTCCATGGTCTGCACCCCTGGCTGACCCACAGAGAAGTCTGGGCACCAGCTCTGTTTTATTAGTGGTAGCAGAGCTGAACTTCTCTGTAGAAGTGGCGGTGGTCCAGCTGTGGCTTCTGAATGCCCACACAGCAGTGGGTGGGGTCACCATGATCAGCATCCCTAACCCAAAACTCCCACCTGCTCCAAAATCAGAGACTTCACTTCACTGATGTAATCCCAATGGTGGAAAATTCCAGACCAGGACACAGTTTCATATACCAAATTATTAAATATATTGTAGAAAATTACCTTCAGCCTTTGTGTTTGTGAAATATAAATGAGTTCCGTGTTTAGAATTGCCTCTTGTCCCCAGTAAATCTCAGCACTTGTATGTCAGTATTCTGAAATCCAAAAAAATTCTTTGTAGGGAATGAGAAAGAGGATGTTACCAGAACGCCTGCAGTGAGTCCTGGTCTCCTGTGAGCCACTAGAACACAAAGCAAATTAAAGAATAAAGACAGGAAACAAGGTTTAGAGAAGAAGCTGAGCTTTGGGTCTAATCAGTGTTGCTCTGGGCAGCAAAGACGAAGACACCCTGAGCTTGTCACTATTTATTGGGTTCATAGGGAGTATCTGATGACTCAGAGGGGGGTGATAATCCTAAATTGACAGGCTCTTATTATAATTGGAGGAAGTATCAGATGTCTTGGAGGGTGGCAGTAATCCTATGACTATGAGGATCTTATGCTAATGAGGACCGTAGGCTGATGAGGAGCTTAAATTGATTAGGATGGTGAGATGGGCAAAATGTTCTTAGAACAGTAGGTGGGACGAGTTAAGGTGATAAGAAATTTGTCTCTCCCTAGGTAAAACCTTTCTACTCTTTTCTCAAAGACCCAGGATGTCTTCAGCTGATGCAATCTTGCCCTTGAGCATCACAGCATCACAGGACTATTGAGGCCTCAGATAACCCTAATCATAATTTAATTGTGAAATGATTTTCCCCCCAAATTATGTAGAATGGCTTCAAACACTTCTTGCCCCAAGCATTTTGGATACAGGTGCTCTCAACTTGTATGTGATCCTGTATTGATTTGTGCAGATCCTAGGCCCCACAGTATCTGTTTCCTGGCACATTATTTTAGTAGAAATGGCAATGTTTTATCCAAGTAAATGTGAAAAGTTTTGATAAATTACCCAATTTCTCAAAAACTAGATCAAAACTGACTCAAGAAGAAGTAGCTAATGTACATAACTCTGCAACCTGTGAAAAAGTAGAACTGGAGACAAAATTGTTTTCTCAGTGACTGATCAGTATCAAAGCCAAATGGCTCAGTGGTAAATTCCTAAACATTGTGCAAATTAATTACTCTGTATTCCTGGGAATTCTTTCAGGAAAAGGAGATATACAAATTTTACTTATGTAGATAGCCTTGGATTCATACTGTGGGTTTTTCCCCCTGGTACTGGGGATCAAATTTAGGACCTTGCCCTTGCCAGGCAGGTGTGGCACCACTGAGCTACATCCCAGGCCCGTGTAGCGTGAATACTGAAATGTGACCAGAAAGTAAGGATTTATACTTCAAGCCAGTACATCATGGTTATCAAGGCCAGTTTGTTAAAATATTAGCAAGCCAAATCCAATAATCTGTAGCAGGATCATTTGCTGTGGAGACATTCACAGTCCAGGAATACAAGTTTAGCTTAATGTTGGAAACAAAATCAGTATAAAGCATGACTTTATCTGACTGAACAAAAATATGAAAGTATCTTAGTAAGTGCAGAAGAAACTATTTGATTATATTTAACACTGGGCATTCAGAAGAAATGTTTGACAAAATTTGTCTTCCATCATGCCATAAAACCCTTAACAAAATACAAGTAAGTGATTCTTTGTTAAGTCGCATTGCACAAAAATGACCAAGTGAGACTCTGAGCTCTGTGCTTTGAGGTAGAGAGTGACATAGAGCTGCCAACCATCACCACTTTTGGCCAATATTGTATCTCATGGGTAGGAAGAAAATCCAATAAAAAGTATAAAAGTTACAAAAAACAAAAGTGGAAATCACAAATATGATTTATACAAAAGATGAATTAGACTTAGTAAGAAATGAGAAAGTACCACATATGAAAATCCATGTAAAAAACCTATTTGATAGAAGACCACAGGAGATACAGCTCCCAGGTACATCCCTGGGGCCTTGGGGACCCACCCCTGCAGGAGCCATGGCCTGGACAGTCCCTGGAGATTTCTCATCCCCAAGGGGCAGATGTACACACGTCACTACCCACAGTCCTCTCTGAGGGGCCTGTGCTGGGCACCCTGTCCCATGTCCTCAGACCAGCCCTATGGAGCTGGGCTGGGCTGGGTGGACAAGTTGTGCCGCACATGCTGAGGGGCAATGAGACTTCTCCAGGGCCACAGTTGGGGCAGAGCCTGCAGGTTCTGTTCTGCATCTGCCTGACCCAGGGCCTTTCTCTCCCAGATGGTGTCCCTAACCCCGTGTCCCTGTCCGTCCCCAGAGCCCAAGGCAGCATTTGCCAAGGAGCAGCCGGCCCACAGCGAGGTACAGGCCGAGGCGGGGGCCAGTGCCATGCTGAGCTGCGAGGTGGCCCAGCCAAAGACGGAGGTGACGTGGTACAAGGACGGGAAGAAGCTGGGCGCGAGCTCGAGGGTGCGCGTGGAGGCCACGGGCTGCAGGCGGCAGCTGGTGGTGCAGCAGGTGGGCGAGGCCGACACCGGGGAGTACAGCTGCGAGGCCGGGGGCCGGAAGGTCTCCTTCCACCTGGACGTCACAGGTCAGTCCTTGTGGGGTCCACCTTAGCTGTTGGAGGTGATGTGAGCCTGGCTGGTGACCAGACAGATCTTGGTGGTACCCTCCCTCATACCTGTGGCTGGGCCGCGTGTGTGGACAGAAGTGTGTTTAGATACCACATGGTGATCAGGCAGACTCTCCTCCTGCCACCTGACATAGCTCCTTCTCCCGTGTGAACCGCAGGGGGCTGGGCTGCAGGCTGGGTCTTGTCAGCAACAGAGGCTGAACCGGGTCTGTGGACAGAGTCCCCGCTAGCTGGTGTGAATGGGCTCTTGCCTGGGGCTGTGGGATCCTGTCTCCACTCCCAGGGCCTCTGGCCTTGGGGTCCTGACAGTGCAGCTGCACGGAGGTGGCCTGGTGGGACGGTGTCCTGCCTCTTCGCCTCCAGGCTCTCTCCTCCCCCTATCTCTGTCCCTCAGCACTCCAGGGGGTGGGATCTATGTGGCACACACAGTCCTACTCTGGGAGGGTGGCAGGAGGGGCCCAGAGCCTTCACAGTGCCAGTGCCGGCACCACCCTGTAACAAAGAGGACATTTCAGCAGCTTGTTGGGAGTGTGGGTCCTGAGCTGTCCACACTGGCCTCCTGGCTTGGCCTGTCCCCGATGTGCCCGATCACTCATCCAGGTCATGTTGCCCCGAGTGCTCTGCTGGATGGCACTTTGGGGTGACCTGCTTGCCCTCTTCCCTGCAACCTCCCCTTTGGTCTCAAGCTTTGCCTTTTTCAGCCCTTGCTGAAGGAGTCCTGACAGCCCAGGCCTTCCTGGCTGCCCACCTCCCTTCAGGGTCTGCTCCTGGGCTGGGACAGAGCTGGTGGCCCCAAGGGCTTCTCCTGGATTCCTTGTATGGCCTGAACCCTCCTGGAGGTGGATGCAGAGGCCACAGTGAGGGCTGGGTAGGGGAGCCAGGCACCCTGGTTCCCACCTCATGCCACTTAACTGCCCCTGCCCCAGAGCCGGAGAGCCAAGTTGCTGAGAGGCCCGGTCGCAGGGAGCCACTGGTGGTCAAGGAACACGAAGACATCGTCCTGAACGCCAGGCTGGCCACACCCTCAGCAGCAGTGGTGGCCTGGCTGAAGGATGGCTTGGAGATTCGCCGAAGCAAGCGCCACGAGAGTCACAGTGTGGGCAACACCCACACACTAACTGTGCGAGGCGCTCAAGTGCTGGACAGTGCTGTGTACACGTGCCGCGTGGGGGACAGGCACCAGGACTTCCCCGTGCAAGTGGAAGGTGAGCAGGGTGGGACCCGGGCGTGGGGACCCCCTGGTGCGGGTCGAAGGCGAATGGGACAGGGACCCAGGGCGTGCAGAGTCGTCTGAGCCCCGCCGTGCCCGCAGAGGTGGCTGCCCAGTTCTCCAAGCCGCTGACGCCGGTCACCGGGGAACTGGGCGGCTTGGTGACGCTGGCCTGCGAGCTGACCCCGGCACAGGCAGAGGTGGTCTGGCGTCGTGGAGACACGGAGCTGCGGCCTGGAAAGCGGATCCGGATGGAGGTGGAGGGCGAGGTGCGCTCGCTGACCCTGTCGGGGCTGCGGGCCGAGGACGCGGGGCAGTACACGTGCGAGAGCCGCGATGGGCGCACGAGCGCGCGCCTGGACGTCCGGGGTACGTGGGTTGGGGGAGACACCTTGGGGCCGGAGGGGTGGGTCGGGCGGGGCGTCCAGGCCCGCAGGGGGACAGGGTTCCCAGAGAGCCCTGCCAGCACGCACTCCCCCCCGCAGCGCCCCGCGCGGTGCGGTTCACGTCCCCACTGAAGGCCGTGGTGGCCGAGGAGGGAGGCGAGGCCACCTTCGAGTGCTCGGTGTCGCCCGAGGATGCGGAGGTGGCCTGGTTCCGGGACGGCGTCCCGCTGGAACCCGGCGGGAAGTTCGTGACGTCGCAGAGAGGCGCGCGCTGTAGCCTGACCTTGGCGGGCCTGGCGCTCGGGGACGCGGGCGAGATCACCGCGCGCGCCGAGGGCGCCTCGTGCTCTGCCGCTCTGCGGGTGCGAGGTGAGCCGCGCCGGGCGGGGTGGACCGAAGGCCGGGCCCGGGCGCCTGCTGGGGAGCGGGAGGGCGCAATCCTGCGAGCGCCCCTGGCGGAGGGAGGCTTCCTGGAGAAGGCGCACAGGGAGCTAGTTGGGCAGGGTGCGAGCGCGGGCGGGAGCCAGGACCACACCACAAGGCAGGGAGCCACGCAGCTTCCCAAGCGAGGGAGTGGTGTGGACGCACCCTGGGGTGAGCCACTTTTTGATCTGGAGCCGCCCGTGGCCTGGGGCTGGGAGGGGGCCGCCCCTGGGCCTGAGTTTCCCCATGGGGCCCTGCGTGACCATTGCCTCACGTGCAGAGGCGCCTGTGCTGTTCCGACGGAAGCTGGAACCGCGGACTGTGCAGGAGGGGAGCTCCGTGGCCTTGGAGGTGGAGCTGTCTCGGCCCTGGCCACGGGTCGGGTGGACGCGCAACGCTGCCACCCTGGAGCCCGGCGACAACGTGGAGATCCACGCGGAAGGCGCCTGCCACCGCCTGGTGCTGCTCAGTGTGGGCTTCGCTGACCGCGGCTTCTACGGCTGCGAGACCCCAGATGACAAGACACAAGCCAAGCTCACAGTGGAGAGTGAGTGAGGGAAGGGGTCAAGGCGGGAGCGGGAGGGGAGGAGTAGGCTGGGGGGTTGAAGGGCAGAGTGGGGAGCTGCAAGGTGGGACAGAACTCCTGGGACTCTTGGGTGTGTGTTCAGCCTGGCAAGTCCTGGGGCCGGGTGAGTCTGAGGTCAGCCCAGGGTGGGCTGCACTGGGGACAGACTGGACTGGGCATAGCCATACTGTGGGACCAAGTGCTGCTGGCCCAGGCAGGTGAGCGAGGTCTTCAGTGGGGACTCACGAGTGCCCCCTGCATCTCTGCAGTGTGCCAGGTTGCCCTGGTTCGAGGCCTGCAGGCACTAGAGGCCAAGGAACAGGGCATGGCCACCATGGAGGTGGAGCTGTCGCACCCCAACGTGGCGGGCATTTGGACTCGGGATGGTGTGCAGCTGCAGCCAGGGCCCATGTGCCACCTGCTGGTGAATGGCCAGGTCCACAGCCTCACACTCTCAGGGCTGCGGCCCCAGGACAGTGGGCTGGTGGCCTTCCGGGCAGAAGGCGTGCAGACCTCGGCGAGGCTGGTGGTTACTGGTGAGTGGGCTGGCGGATGTCCTCTTCCCTGGGGCGACACCCGTGGGACTCTGGAAGGCACCCAACACTGTCTTCCTTCTCTTCCTCCTGTCCCCCAGAGCTACCTGTGACCTTCAGCCGGCCACTGCAGGATGTGGTGGTGACCCAGAAAGAGAAGGTGACACTGAAGTGCGAGCTGTCGCGACCCAGTGTCACTGTGCGCTGGCTGAAGGTGCCTTCCCCAGCCCCTCCCTGCCTCTGGGTGGCTGGGTAGCTGGGCAGGGCCAGGGCTGACCAGGCTTGCTCCCTGTGCAGGATGGCCTGGAGCTGAGGGCAGGCAAGGCTGTGGGCATGATGGCCCAGGGCCCCCAGAGAAGCCTGGTTATCTACTGCTGCGAGTTGGAGGACCAGGGCCTGTACGTGTGTGACGCAGGTGACGCTCAGAGCTCTGCCTCCCTTGAGGTGCAAGGTGAGCCTGGCCCGAGTGGCTCCTCGGCTGTGGGATCAGGTGCTGCACCGGGTTGCTGGCTGTGCCTGGCCTTCGGGGTGATGGGGCCTCCCTCGCCTCCCAGCCCGCCAGGTCCAGATCGTGAGGCCCCTGGAGGACGTGGAGGTGGCGGAGAAAGAGCCCGCCGCCTTCTCCTGTGAGCTGTCTCACTGCGAGGTGCCTAGCCAGTGGTTTCTGAAGGGCAGGAAGCTGCGGCCAAGTGACAGCGTGCGCATCCGCCAGGAAGGTTCGAGGAGGGCTCCCTGCAGAGGCGTGGTGGGGTACAGGTCTGCCTGCCGGTGCTGAGTGGCCTTCATCCTCAGGACAGACATGCACTCTCCTGTTCCGGAGGGTCCTGGCGGAGGATGAAGGGGAGATCAGGTTTGTAGCTGAAAATGCAGAATCTCGAGCCCAGCTCCGAGTGAAAGGTGAGGGGGCTGGGCGAGGCTTAGGGACCCAATGGGTGGCTGTCCTGGGACTGTCCCGAGGGTGGGCACAGCAAGGCCTTCGGAGGAAGAAAGGCAGCATCGCCTCTTCCACAGGGGCAGGAGCAGCCGGGGGGCTGCAAGGACGTGGGGTCTCTTTGGTGGCAGTGAATGAATGGTCTTCCTAGGCTGCCTCCAGTGCTGGGGAGGTTGGGTTCGGCAGGCAGAGCCTCGGAGGGACGCTGGGCTGGGAGCAGCGTGAGCTGTTTGGGGCCCAGCAGTCCTTTGCAGCCACGCCCTGGTGTCGGTCATATGCCTGGCCTGCTGACCTGATGCCCTCTGGCTGGCTGCAGAGCTGCCGGTGACCCTGCTGCGCCCGCTGAGGGACAAGATCGCCATGGAGAAGCACCGCGGGGTGCTCGAGTGCCAGGTGTCCCGGGCTAGCGCCCAGGTGCGGTGGCTCAAGGACGGTGTTGAGCTGCACCCGGGCCCCAAGTACGAGATGCTCAGCGACGGCCTCTACCGCAAGCTGGTCATCAGCAGCGTGCAGCCTGAGGACGAGGACACCTACACTTGTGATGCTGGTGACGTCAGGACCAGTGCCCAGCTCTTTGTGGAAGGTGAGTGCTTTCCCGAGGGTGCCCACGGTTCATGGCTGGTCCTGGGGGTCCTGCCACAGCCACCTCTGGGACATCCTGACAGCAGGGGAGATGTGAGCACCCATGGTGGGAAGGGCACCTGTTCTCCGAGGATGTCAAGCTTGCAGGAAGGCACTGTCTTCCCTGTGAAACCTGTGGTGACCGTGATGCCCCACTGCCCACAGAGCAGTCCATCACCATCGTGCGGGGCCTGCAGGATGTGACAGTGATGGAGCCCGCGCCTGCCTGGTTCGAGTGTGAGATCTCCATCCCCTCCGTGCAGTTGCCCAAGTGGCTGCTAGGCAAGACGGTGCTGCAGGCAGGGGCAAACGTGGGCCTGGAACAGGAGGGGACAGTGCACCGCCTGGCACTGCGGAGGACCTGCTCCACCATGACAGGGCCCGTGCACTTCACCATTGGCAAGGCGCGCTCCTCCGCTCGCCTGGTGGTCTCGGGTGAGCAGCAGGGCCGGAGAGGGGTGCAGGGAGGCCTGGGGGTGCTGGTCTCAAGGCCGCTGGATGTGGCCTTTGTAGCCCTCATCCCCTCCCACTCCCCGCCTGCAGACATCCCTGTCACATTGGTGCGGCCGCTGGAGCCCAAGGCGGGCCACGAGCAGCAGTCGGTGGTGCTGTCCTGTGACTTCCGGCCAGCCCCCAAGGCCGTGCAGTGGTACAAGGATGACACGCCGATCACCCCGTCCGAGAAGTTCAAGATGGTGCTGGAGGGCCAGATGGCCGAGCTGCGTGTCCTGCGGCTCAGCCCCGCTGATGCTGGTGTCTACAGGTGCCAGGCGGGCAGTGCAGAGAGCAGCGCTGAGGTCACTGTGGAAGGTAGGTGGGGTGGGGCCTGGGGGCCCGGGCCAGACCTGGAGCGCGGTGCTGAGGTCCCCATGTGCCGTGCAGCACGGGAGGTGAAGGTGACACAGCCGCTGCAGGACACTGAGGCCATCGAGGAGGGCCGGGCCTGCTTCTCCTGTGAGCTGTCCCAGGAGGATGAGGAGGTTGAATGGTCGCTCAATGGGATGCCGCTGTATAATGACAGCTTCCACGAGATCATTCACGAGGGTCGGCACCACACGCTTGTACTCAAGAGTGTCCGGCGGGCAGATGCAGGCATGATTCGTGCCAGCTCCCCGAAGGTGTCAGCCGCAGCCCGGCTGGTGGTCCGAGGTGAGCTGTCCTCAATGGGGTCTGTGGAGCCTCTCACCCCAACAGGCCCCTCACCACCCGCATGCCATCCCCACAGCGAAGCCGGTGGTATTCCTGAAGGTGCTGGATGATGTGTCAGTGGAGGCGCGTGGCACGCTGGCCCTGCAGTGTGAAGTGTCTGAGCCCACGGCCCATGTGGTGTGGAGCAAGGATGGTGTGGAGCTGGGCCCCGGAGCCAAGTATGATCTCCTGCACACAGCAGGCATGCGCGGCCTGGTGGTACGCGACCTGGGCCACGAGGATGCCGGCCTGTACACCTGCCACGTGGGCAGTGAGGAGACGCAGGCCCGGGTCAGCGTGCATGGTGCGTGGCACAGTGTGGCCTTCTTCCCTGTCCCCATGGCATGTGCCACTGTCTGAGCTGAGGGCAGCTGAAGGAGATGGGAGGCTTCCTGTTGTGTTGTGTGAGGGCTGAGCTACACTGAGTGGTGGACAGGGAGGTGGGACCTCCTTTGTGCCATGGGACGCATCTGAGGACAGGCATAGGCGAGGTGGTGGGAAGGCCTCTTGGCCAGGGGCACTGGGTGGCAGCCGGCCATGCCCACGTCCAGAGTTGTCACTGTACCCAGTCCTGCTTCTTGAGCCTGTCTGACCCTCAGTGGGCTGGTTCCCAACTGCAGGGCTGGAGCACCGACCTGGCCCAGATCCCGAGCCCTGACCTCCACCCACAGAGCTCGCTGGCTTGGGGAGGGTGGAGTCAGTGTGCTGTGGTGGTGACACTGAGAAGAGACCATGATGAGGAGGTGCCGTGGGCAGCCCTCGTGCCCTGCGGGACTCTCCACGTGGTGCTCACTTGTGCAGTGTGGGTGGTGCTAACCCTTGGGCCACCTGATGCCCGCTGGTCATCTACACACAGGGCGGGCCCAGGAAGCTGTCCCTGTGAGGATGGCCACCCTGGGCATCAGCCCCTCCAGACTCGGGTGGGTCTGCATGTGCTCAGGCCACGTCGTCCTCCGGCGTCTGTGTGATGGCACTCATCCTGTGGCCTGCAGACCTGCACGTGGGCATTACCAAGAGGCTGAAGACCGCAGAGGTGCTGGAGGGCGAGACTCACACCTTTGAATGTGTGCTGTCCCACGAGAACAAGGGCGACCCTGCCGTGTGGACAGTCGGTGGGAAGACAGTGGGCAGCTCTGGCCGCTTCCAGGCTGCACGCCAGGGCCGAAAGTACATGCTGACCGTGCGGGACGCGGCGGTGGGGGACACCGGAGAGGTGGTCTTCTCTGTGCGGGGCCTCACCTCCAAGGCCTCACTGCTCGTCAGAGGTGGGTGCCGTGGGCCCAGGGCTTGTTTCTCGGGGGTCTGGGGACCGTCTCCTGCCCTGGTGAGTGCTCCTCTGGAGGATGCGGGGACCCAGAGGCGCCTGCTGGGGGCAGGGGTTGCTCTTGGAGAGTCTCTGAGACTCTGGAGAAACCTGGGGCCCTGGTCTCTGACTGGTGGCTCAGTTGCCCCACGTGGCCAGAGGCTCATGCGCGTGGCTGACAGAACTGCTGGGCATGCTGGACTCACATCCTCTGGCCCTGCACTTGGCTGGAAGTTGCTGTCGAGGTTTGGAGTTAGTGCTCTTGACTTGCATTCTTGTCAGGTCAGTGGAGCCCAATGTGCGACCACCAGCCCTGGTACCCCTAGGAGGCCCTGAAGGAGGCTGGGGTGGAGTGCCACTGCCCCTGCCTCCCTGGCATCCCTGGGTCTCGGGTGGCAGATGTCCCTGGGGTCGTCCTGGCTGTGACTGCACTGTGACCGTGGCTGTGTGGCCCAGGTCGTGTGGCTCAGGTTGTGGTGCCTCACTGACTGCCTTTGGTTCCCCAGAGAGGCCGGTGGCCATCGTGAAGCCCCTGGAGGACCAGCAGGCCGAGCCAGGGGAAGATGTGGTGCTGAGCTGTGAGCTGTCACGGGCGGGTGCCCCTGTGCGCTGGCTGAAGGATGGGAAGGCCATCCGGAAGGGGCAGAAGTACGACCTGCTCAGCGAGGGCGTGCAGGCAGTGCTGGTGGTGCGTGGGGCCTCCCTCAGGGACTCTGGCGAGTATGTGTGCGAGACAGATGCTGCCCTGACCACTGCCAAGCTCCGCGTGGAGGGTGAGTGCCCTGGGACCTGCGCCCGGCCTGCACGGCCTCTGTCCGCCAGCACGGCCCAGGATGTGCCTCTGCGGCCAGCAGGCAGGGCCAGGGGTGCGTGAGCTGGGTGCAGCGTGTACAAGCTCTACCTTCCCTGCTCGGGTTCGCTCTCCAGGAAGGGCAAACCAGTTCACAGAGGAGCTGGCCAACCTGCAGGCCCAGGAGCAGGGCACGGCTGTGTTCACCTGCAAGACAGAGCAGCCGGCAGCCACTGTGACTTGGCGCAAGGACACCATGGAGCTGCGGGCCTCGGGGAAGCACGCGCTCAGCCAGGAGGGCTTGGTCCTGAGGCTCACCATCAGCGCCCTGACACCGGCCGACAGTGGCACCTACACCTGTGACATTGGCCAGGCCCAGTGCCAGGCTCGGCTCCAGGTGCAAGGTGAGCTGGGGACACCAGAGCAGGGCCCTGCAGGGGCTCGGGTGCTGCTGCATTTCGAGCAGACCCTGTAGACTCTGAGGTGGCCAGAAATTGGCACTCTGAATGGTCCTGCACTGGCCCAGCCTCAGTTTCTCCAGTCCTTGCAGGTGGAGGAAATGATAGGGTGACTGTGGGCTCTTGTCGATGGCCTTTTTTGATCTGACATCTGTCTGCTCTCTGTGGGTTTCGCCATGGTTCAAGCCAGTGCTGTCTGTGTGCCAGCACACGACGCATCACCAGGATGTGTTGACAGCTGGGAGCCTCGGCTGTTCCCAAGGGAGGGCCGACCATCAGTGTGACTGTCATTGGTGGTTCTCCCCTGGAACCATGGAGATTGCCATGGGGAGGAGAGGGTGTGTCCTAGGCTGTGGGGGTGAAAGGGTGCATGTAGCTGAGCTGCTTGGGCCTGAAGTTTGTGGGTCTTGCAGACACAGGAAGGAGTGGGGGACTTGTTGGTGAGGTTCCCTGACCAGGCAGGGGTCTTGGTTGGGTAGTGAGGGTGGAGAATGGCTGTAAGTGCAGAGCGGGAGGTTAGCTCAGCACCCTGCAGCACAGTAGAGTAGCACTTGTGTTTTGCACACGGTTGCATTGGTGACACAAATTTGATTGCGTGGGTGGTGGTGACCTAGGCGCAGCTGGGCATATAGGCTTATGCACAGCCCAGTGGGGCCAGAGAGTACTGGTCCTCGGCAGCTTGGGCCACCAGGCCAATGCCACAGAGGTCCTGGGGGAGGAGGAGTTTGGGACCTGGAGGTTGGCCTAAAACAAAGACTTTGGGCCATTCAGCTCTGATCCACGTCAGGACTTGAGTTTTGTCAGCGTGGGCTCATTGAGCAGTCAGTGCCAGCTGCCGTGAGCCCTTTGCTGGGTCTGGGGAGAGCCACATTTCCCCACAGCTGGCGGGGCTCTGACCACCTGTCTGTGCCCATGCAGGCCAGAGTGTGCACATTACTGAGGCCCTGGAGGACGCCGAGGTGCAGGAGGGCGCCTCAGCCACTTTCTGCTGCCGCCTGTCCCCTGCCAACTACAGCCCTGTGCGCTGGTTTCTGGACCAGACACCCCTGCATCCCGACAGGCTCCACGAGGTCAAAGCCCAGCCCGGGGGCTACCACTTGCTCATCCTGCGGCAGCTGGCGCTCAAGGACACGGGCACCATCTACTTTGAAGCGGGTGACCAGCATTCCTCAGCCTCCCTGCGGGTCACAGGTGGGTTGGTGTTCCAGTTGGGGCTGCTGTGATTGGGAAACCACTAAATGCGTCTGGCTCAGTGCAGCCCGTGGAGAGGGACAGCAGCTCACACATAGGCGAGGGGCGACTGAGCTCACCTGGCAGCGAGGGCAGCTGGCTTGGGAGTGTGGGCTGGGTCTGGTAGTGGGCGTGGAGTGCTGGCCTGAACTACTTCCAGAAGAGCCCTGCTGGGTGGTCCTGGGACTCCTGGTTTACATGGTGCATGCTGGCTGAGCCCCTGAGGGGTGGGGGCCCATGGAGCCACCCAGCCTGCTGCTCTCTTGTGCTGCAGTCAGCCCAACTCTCTGTGCACTCCGTGTCTCTGTCCCAGAGAAGCCGAGCGTCTTTTCCCGGGTGCTCTCGGACACCACCGTCATGGAGGGAGAGGACCTGGCTCTGCTCTGTGAGACCACTGCTCCGGACAGCCCCGTGCTCTGGACCAAGGACGGGAAGACGCTGCGGCCCTCCGCCCGCTGCCGGCTGAGCTATGAGTGTGGCCGGGCCCAGCTGGTCATCTCTGAAGCTGGCCTGCAGGACAGTGGCCGGTACAAGTGTGAGGCCCGTGGCGCCTCAAGCAGCGCTGTCGTCAGGGTCCGCGGTGAGCCCCAGGGTCTGTGGCCTGCCTTGTCACGTGGTCGTAAGCATGGGGTGGGCGGACGCCCCGAGCCCAGCGCCCACTGCCGTCCAGCGCTGCGGCACCCTGTTGGGGGTCCGTGCCTCAGTGCCTCTCCGGCCTGCTCGGCCGCCTCCGGTCTCGGGATCTCCTTCGCCGTGCAGGGCTCACCTGCGCTGCCCGGGTCTCTGGGCGTGTGTGGCCAGGGTCTCTCGCCCCATGTGCATCTCAGCCATGTGCACTGACCCCTCGGGTCTTCTTTCTGCTCCTGGCTCGGCTCTACGCTGCCTTCACAGATGGGTGGCTGACTCTCAGGGACTGGTTGTCTCTTGGTTTCTGAGGCTGGGGCCTGGGGCTGACCTGGCTGGGGGCTGGCTTCTCCCCTGACCGCTCTCTCTGTGGCCCACATGGCCGTTGTCTGTGTCTCTGTCCTGATCTTCTCTTCTAAGGACACCAGTCTCGGGATTAGGACTACCTCTAGTGACCTCATGTTGCAGTAGCTCTCGCTTCAGTCCACACTGCCAAGCACAGTCCCATTCTGGGTCCCTGGGGGGAGGCTTGGTGTGCACATGTTGGGGCTTTGTGACGTTGTCTCTCCACTCCCCTGTGCCACACTGACCTTTGCCCTGTGCTGTCAGACCCATGCCTGTCTCCCTGGGGCTCGGGCATCCCTGGCCCCTCTTAGAGCCCTGCCCACCCTAGCTCAGCCCAAGCAGGGTCTGACTGAAAGCCGGGCTGAGCCATGTCTGTCCACAGCTTTACCGGTGCGGTTCCAGGAGACCCTGAAGGATGTAGAGGTGCTGGAGGGTGGGGCAGCCACATTGCGCTGTGTGCTGTCATCCGTGGCTGCGCCTGTGGAGTGGCGGCGTGGGGACAACATCCTGAGGTCCAGTGGCAAGTACAGTCTACGCCAGGAGGGTGCCGTGTTAGAGCTGGCCATCCGGGACCTGCAGCCCCTGGACAGTGGCTGCTATTCCTGCTCCTTTGGGGATCAGAAGACCTTGGCCACACTCACTGTGAAGGGTGAGTGTCCCTGTCTGCCCTGGCCATGGCCACGTTGGGGCCGCTTGGTCAGCACAGAACAAAGGTGGCATCTCTGTCTCTTCTGCCCTTCCCAGCCCTGCCGGCCCACTTCACAGGAAGACTGAGAGACAAGGCAGCCACAGAGGGGACCACGGCCACGCTGCGGTGTGAGCTGAGCAAGGAGGCCCCCGTGGAGTGGAGGAAGGGGACAGAGACCCTCAGGGATGGGGACAGACACAGCCTGAGGCAGGACGGGGTCGTGTGTGAGCTGCAGATCCGGGGCCTGGCCACGGTGGACGCCGGGGAGTACTCATGTGTGTGTGGGCAGGAGAGGACTTCGGCCACGCTGACTGTGAAGGGTATGACTGCATGTGGCCGGGTGTCAGCATTTCCCCGTGTCTGTCTGTGCTGTGGTTTCCACAGCTCTGCTTTGTTCCTTCAGTGAATGTTTCTCACGCTGCCACACAGGACCCGTCTCGGAGCCCAGCAGAGGAGGGGCTTGTTTCCCAGCTCCCTGGGGGTCGGGTCTGAGATGGACGAGTGAGGAGTACCAGTTAGCAAAAGATGCAGTGATGGGTCCTGGGACACAGCAGGAAACGGGCAGGCAGGAGACGGAGGCATGGCCCACAGGCAGGACCCAGTGTGACCACGGCGTGGGCGGATCCTGCGGGCTGGGGGAACAGGGCCTGCCTGTGACCCAACCCAGTGACCTTCTGGCTGTCTTGGGCCTTCTCTGGCAGCCCTGCCTCAAGTCCTGTGTTCCCCACAGTGTCTGCCCCCACTGATTGCCCATGTCACAGGAGGTCTGGGGCCTGCACTGGCCACAGAAGGGGCTGTGGCCACACTGTGGTTTGAGTGGACAAGGTGACCCCTGGGTGGAGGAAGAGGCCACAGGAATGGGCAGGTGCAGACTGAGGCGAGGTTGTGGGGCCCCAGGCCCCTGAGTGTGGTAGCGGTCATTGCCCTTGGCCAGCACTGTGTCTGACCACTCGGTGCCTGAGCCTACAGTTAGGACGGGAGGGGTTCCCAGTCATGAGCAACCAGGACCTTGTCTTGTGTGTCAGGGAGCTGGGACCCCTGTGCTGCTGTGGCTGGCCACCTGGGGATCAGGCCCTGGGTCACATGTTGCAGGGAAGCAGAGGAAATGAAGGCAGTTGCAAGCCAAGGATGTGGAGGAATGAAACCCTTGCAGGCACAAGGGACTCTTGTGGCTTCCACTCCGCCTCGAGGAAGGGCTCCTTGAGGCAATGAATGAGAGGATTCTGGGCTGGGAATGGCATCTGCCTGCCTGAGCCTGTGTGGCCAGCCTGCTGTGTGCAAAGACATTGGGCGCCTTTGTGAGGAGAAACCTGGGCCATGCCACTTCCACCTGTGCAGATGAAGTTTGTGCCATGCTCTGGGGCATGGCACCGAGTGTCCTGGGGCCCGCCAGGAGGCGACAGACGGATGTGTCCTCTGAGGCCCATCCCGTGGATGCAGAACATTGGGAAGACAGACTGAGGGGAAGCTACTCCCTCCCTTGATCCCCAGAGGTGCTGCTGCTGAGGAGGAGGAGGATGGAGGACGTCGGCAGCTTGCAGAGTGGGTCATGTCCCGGGAAGGGCTGAGGACGGTGAGCACCTGCTGTGACCTTTCTAGAGAAGGCTGCATTTCTGGACCACAGAGTTCTGAAGATGCCCAGAGCCGCTGCGCATAGGAGGCCGCCACATGGATGGAGCTGGGCACACTAGAGGCCCAATCTTGGGCTGGTGGCCAGGGGCAGCCCCTGGCCTCAGAGTCTGGAGCCAGGCTGTGTCTGCTCCTCCTTGATCACTTCCCACGTGCCAAAGATGGGGCCTTGCTGTTCATTCATCTGTGAATTTCATCATCTGCTTGCTCACTGGGGAGCCCACCTGCATTTGAACACAAGACCAGGCCTTGGGGCCACCTGCTTCAGGATGACAGTCCCAGGAAGAGAGGGGGCTTCTTCCCTTTCAGTCAGGCTACCTGGGAAGCGAGAGCATGTGTGAGCTTGTGGGACAGTCTCAGGCAGCCTAGTGTGGCCTTTGTCCCCCAGCTGCCCAGTTGTGCCACAGGGAACTATAGAAAAGGACCATGGCTATGACCACTGAGAAGCCTGGCCGCTCCTGGACAGGCCATGCAAAACACTGGGGAGGGAAGATCATTGTGGTCCATGCTTATACCCACCTGTGCCATGGTGTGTGGGTGTTCTGTGTCCTTGTCCTTGTGTGAGTTCTTCCTGTGTCAGCAGTGGCCTTCATGTAGGGGACCAGGCCACCTGTTGTCTGCTGCTTTCCACTGCTATTTCCCTGCCATGTATCCATGCTTATTCCTCGTTCTCCATTCTGCAGTGTTTGCCATATCATGTCCTGGCCCCCTGATCTGCAGAGATCAGTTTTTTGTGTCCTCCTAAGCCCTGCCAGCCACATTCATCCAGAGAAAGAGGCTGTGGGAACCATGGGTGGACCACAGCCATGGTGGCACATAGGCTGGGTGAAGGGAGGCACAAGTCACTGCTCCATGGCTTGGCACGTGGCTTCTGCCCTGCTGCACTTTGTGCCTGCTCTGTCCTGCATGTCTTATCTGCTCCGTGTGCTCAGGTGGTGTGACTTTCTGGCTTTCTGGCCCTTCTCAGTGCTGTCCACCAGGTTCACAGAAGGTCTGAGGAATGAAGAGGCCATAGAAGGGAACACGGCCACTCGGTGCTGTGAATTGTAGAGAAAAGGAATGAAGGGCATCAGTGATGGGGACAGAGCCAGCCTGAGACGAGATGGGGCTGGGTGTGAGCTGCAGATCCAGGGCCTGACTATGGCAGACACTGGGGAGCACTTGTGTGTGTGGGCAGGAAAAGACCTTAGGCATCCTGACTAGGGTGAAGATCGTGTCCCTGTGGATCTGTGTGGCGTTGTGTCTCCACATGATCCCTCTGCCTCCGTGCATGGCACAGTTCCGGTCCTCTGGGCACCTCTTACCTCTTACAGTCATCTGGATGAGCTCACGTTCCCATTCTTCCCGCTGCCTTGGGCATTTCTGCCCAGGTACTTGCTTCCCTCACCATCTGTGTACGTTCACTTGTTTGTGTCGTGGTACCTGGCAGCATGAGGCTCTTTCTTCTTCCATATCCTGTGGAGAGAATTCCAGGCAGCCCCATGTCTGAGTCATTGCTTGGCCCTTCCCAGCCCTGCCTGCCATATTCGTGCAAGACACGAGAAGCCAAGAGGCCACAGAAGGGCCCACGGCCACTCTGAGGTGTGAGCTGAGTAAGGAGGCCTTTGGACTCTGTGCTTTGTCCCGTGAGGTTCTGTGTCTGTCCTTGTTCTCCTCCTGTCCTGCCTCCCAAGGTGCTGTAGAGAACCTGAGGTTCGCAGTGTGTCTCTGACCCTGTCTGGCTCCATGGGGCAGATTCATGTGAGAGGTGGGGGCCCTGGAAGCCAGGGAAGGAGCCAGGGCCACAATAGTGAGAGGCTGCATCAAAGGAGGCCACAGATTCAGCTTAGCATACCTGTCACGTGGTGTGTGCGGAGGGTTTTATGTCTTCTGCTTGCTTGAGGTGTGATTGTGTGCATGCTTTTCTGACCTCGCCAGCCCTGCTCGTTAAGTTCACAGAAGGTCTGGGGAACGAAGAGGCCACAGAAGGGGCCACGGCCACTCTGCGGTGTGTGCTGAGCACTCCATGGGGCAGATTCATGTGAGAGGTGGGGGCCCTGGAAGCCAGGGAAGGAGCCAGGGCCACAATAGTGAGAGGCTGCATCAAAGGAGGCCACAGATTCAGCTTAGCATACCTGTCACGTGGTGTGTGCGGAGGGTTTTATGTCTTCTGCTTGCTTGAGGTGTGATTGTGTGCATGCTTTTCTGACCTCGCCAGCCCTGCTCGTTAAGTTCACAGAAGGTCTGGGGAACGAAGAGGCCACAGAAGGGGCCACGGCCACTCTGCGGTGTGTGCTGAGTACAGAGGCCCCCGTGGAGTGGAAGAAAGGAACAAAGACCCTCAGAGAGGGGGACAGACACAGGCTGAGGCAGGACGGGACCGTGTGTGAGCTGCAGATCCATGGCCTGGCCGAGGCAGACGCTGGGGAGTACTCGTGCCTGTGTGGGCAGGAGAGGACCTCAGCCACGCTGACCATCAAGGGTAAAGACTTGCAGC